ATACCATTAGGTGCCATCCAGTGAGCCCATGCCAGCATGACATCAGGGTAGTCTCCATGGAAGTCTCCAAGGAGGTCTCAGTTATGCTCAGTTCACAGCAGGAGTGAGCATGGGGAACATGGGCTTTCTCTAGTATACAGGGCCAGCGGAGGCCAGAGTGCAAGCAGGCCTGCAAGTTCTGTGTCATCATGGTCTCCAGGCTCCAGCTACCCCAGTCCTCTACAACCTCCCAGCCCACACCCTGCCTCCCTGAATCCTCTCTCCTATTCTGGGCCTCCAATCTCCTAAGTCCCTACTTCCCTCATCCCTATCTCTCACATCCTGCCCCTGCTCTGAGTCTGGCCTCTCGGGTTCCTGTTACCTCCAGCTCCGGGAGTGTCACATGTGTCCAGGGGCCAGGAGGCTACAGCCTTGAGAGAGGGCGAGGCTGAATCTGACCAAAGGCTGAGTTGTTCTGTGTGGACAGGAGAGCACTGTGGACCAGCAGACCCTGCAACAGGGAACCAGAATGAGAATTCTGGGATTTCCTGTCTCATAAACCCACCATGCAGGGTACTATCCTGCCTCCTTGCCCCCTGCTGGGAAGGGAATAAAGATCTTTCCCTCCTGCTGCTACCTCAGATGGCATCTGAGCCTCTGGGTTCTCTCCTCTGCGGCCATTAGCAACCTCCAAACTGTCCACCGGGCCTGCTGGCCCAGCAAGCTAAGCACAGGGATCAACCAGGCTCTTTTCAGATACTGTCAGACTGTCGACCCTGTTAGACCCTTGCCTGGGCTAGCAACTGTGCTTCCAATCCCACAGATGGCCAGGCCTGAAGTGACAGAAGCGGCCAGCAGAGGGCAGCAGAAGGCCATGGACCCATTGGCTCCTACATACCAAGCAGCTGAGTCTGGGACTTTGTCCCCTGTCTAGGATGCCTCAGATTCTGGCCCAACTCTGCAGAAGAGTATCAAGCCTCACGTTGCACGCCTACCTCAATACCAACTGCACCTTCTTCACTGCCCTCTGAACCCCTGGACACTTCAGAGCCCCCTCAGGTCACCACAGGAGCACAGGAGCCCCAGAGCCCAACCCTAACCTTCTCAAACTTATGTCCCCCATGGTATGCAGAATGAGACCTGGATGGCAAGTGAGCCAGTGAGACCACATATAACATCTGTGGACATCACAGCATGGCTCCTCCAGAATGGTGGTCCTGTGCAAGCCTGTGACCACACACTGAGCTAGGTGTAAGCACCCTTACAGTCTTCTCTCTGGGGTCCCTGTAGAGGTGCACCCCCCATGTTACCAGGATCATGAGGACTGTGGCTTGAGCTGTGGTTAGTCTCTTGCCATTATCCAGGGATGGGGTTCAAGTTCTTTCCCGTTAACCTCCAGGATGAGGTCTCAGAATTTGTCACTGATCGTCATTCTCTGATGACCATATGTATAGCTAGTCTTTGCTCCAAACTGGCCACTCCTCAGTCTGTCCTTACCTAGACCCACACATCCTGGCTGGAGCTGTCATACCCAATCCTCACCACTGGCCATGACCCCCCCTCCCCCGGCTCTGCCAGTTTCTACCTTTCTCAGCAACTCCTGCCCGAAGTCCCTAACTGTCCTGTCCCCAAACCTCTTTTCTTAGTTAGGGTTTCTATCACTGTGATGAAACACCATGACCATAAGCAATTTAGGGAGGAAAGGGCTTGTTTTGTTTACACTTCTACATCATAGTGAGCTATCGAAGGAAGTTGGGACAGGAACATGAACACAAGAGCTGATGCAGAGACCACGAGGAATGCTGCTTACGGCTTGCTCCACATGGCTTGCTCAGCCTGCTTTCTTATACACTCCAGGACCATGAGAACTGCCCACAGTGGGCTGTGCAGACCCAGATCAATCATTAATTAAGAAAGAAGGAAGGAAGGAAAGAGGGAGGGAGGGAGAGAGGGAGGGAGAGAGAGAGAGAGAGAGAGAGAGAGAGAGAGAGAGAGAGAGAGAGAGAGAGAGAACACCCTATGGGCTTGCCAACAGGCTACTCTAGTGAGGGCATTTTCTCAACTGAGGTTCCCTCTTCTCAGTTGACTCTAGCTTTTGTGTAGTGACCAAAACTAACCAAAACACTCCTGGAGCGGCAACTGCACTGAGGACCTGTCCTACTCCCTACTCCACCTGGCTCCCCAGCCTGCAGTGGTCCTGTGTGGGCTGGATAGCTTGGCTTATTAGTACAGACCAGCCCAGGAAGGTTATGGCACAATGGTCTGTCTGAGTAGGTACAATGATCCTGGAGCCAAGGGTGGTTGATGCACAGCTGGGGGGGGGGGGAGAGATGGGGTTGCCCAGAGGATGTGGCTGACTCATGGGGCAGCATGGCCAAGACACCTTCAGAGCAGAGCTGAACCCTGAACAAGGTGCTCAGGAAGCCCACCCGACTGCCACTCTTCCCACAAGTCCCCATTACCTCACTTAGTTCTGTTGCTTAGAGATTCACTGTGTGTCACATCCCACCTCCCACCCCAGCCCTATGGGGCACTGAAAGAACTTCCCAAAATGATTTTGCCCTGTCTCAAGTATGCCCCCGACCCCACCTGATGGGTTCTACCCCTCCTCCCTGCCCCACCCCAGGCCGGCCTATGCTGAGCACAGGCCATGCCTTTCAGTCTGGGAATTCTCATTTGGGGAGTGCAGTCAGCTGGAGGGGATCCCAGCTGGGTCTACCCCTACCTGCCAGGCCTTTACCTCCTCTAGATGCCCCACTCCAGGGAAACTGCTCAGGGAAGTCTTGCTTGCCTCAAAGACCAAAGTTCAAAGTCAGAGGTTCCTGCATATCTTATCCCCAAGCTGTACCTGTCTGCTGGCCCAGTGCGGGGAGGAGATTGTAACCCAGTGTCCACCTGCTCTGTGGCCATGAGTGTTGTGGCTGATTTCACTCCTTTCTACTTGTCTTTCTCACATATGGGGTCAGACTGCATTGTGGCAATTCTGGAGTACTATGTAGGTGACTGTGGCCAGAGAGATCCACCTGTTTTAATAAGAAATACATTTTTTGTTTTTTCCCAGACAGTGTTTCCCTGTGTGGCAGTCCTAGCTGTCTTGGAACTTGCTCTGTAGACCAGGCTGGCCTTGAATTCACAGGTTCTACCCTGTGAATTCTCTAGCTCCTGCCTCTGTCTCCCAAGTGCTGGGATTAAAGGCATGTACCACCACCGCCTGGCAAGAAACAGGCAAGATACATTTATTAGCTGGGTGGTAGTGGCACATGCCTTTAATCCCAGCACTTGGGAGAAAGAGGCAAGAGGATCTCAGTGAGTTCAAGGCCAGCCTGGTCTACAAAGTGAGTTGCAGGATAGCCAGGACAGCCAGGACTGTTACACAGAGAACCCCTGTCTTGAGATAAAAAAAAAAAGGTGCATTTATTTTATGTATGAGTGTTTTGTCTGCAAGTATGTCTGTGCCCCAGGTATGCCTAGTGCTTGCCCAAGTCAGAAGGGGGCGTCAGATCCTGTAAGCCCCCATGTGGGTGCTGGGAGCAGAACCCAGGTCCTTGGAAAGAACAGTCAGTGCTCTTGACTGCTGAGCCATCTCTCCAGCCCCAAGAAGCACCTTTTGTTTTTCCTGTTTCTTAGGACTGAGTGTAACCACTGCCTGACCCAAGCAGGGGTGTGTGTGGTGGGGTGGATATCACTACTGAGAAGGGCTGGTCTGGGCACTTGCAGTGAACTCCTGGTAAAATACATTGTGGTTTTCCAAACAAGGAGGCAGTGGAGGAGGTGAGGAGCCCAGATCTCTCTTCTGAAGTCCTGGCTTCCCCCACTCTATTGCTAGGAAAAAGTCACCACTTGCCACTCCAAACAGACAGCAGCACAAGGGGTCCCCAATTAGGCCACAGTTCCGTGGGCCACCAAGTCTCCCCGTCCTAATGTAGCGGAGATACCCCAGAGTTTGGCTCTATAGTCAAAAGCTGTCTTTCCAATTATCCATAGTGACTTTGTCTTGGGAATAATTGGCTCCCTGCCACTTGCCTCAGCTCTGGGCCATTGGAAGAAAGGCTGGCTGGGTTGGGACCAGGGACCTAGCTGAGCAGGGCTGAGCAGCTCTGTATTTGCCACTAAAGTCCTTGTACCTGCCACCAAAGCTGACCTTCTGGAGAGATAGCTGGTAAAAGGACACTTCTCTGTGTGCTCCCTGGAGGTCATCAAGCCTGAAATTGCCCAGACACTAGGAAGACAACTGCAGATGCCCTGGAGACAGACAGCTACTCTAGTGGCCACTCACAAAAGCTCAGTTGGCATTGGTCTTGCCCACTGCTCCACCATTTTCACACACTTATCCCAGTGTCTGGAGCTCTCAAGGGCCTCTTTTCCCAACATTTAGGAGCCTGCATGTGTTGTCCACAGTTCTCTATCGCATGGTGCACTGGGTAGGCTGGTGGGGCCTGAGTGGCCCTGTGCAGCAACGGGAGGCATGCCTGGGGCCTATGGGCCTAGCTGGTCCTGGAACTGTTCCTCCTTGCGGGGTTGTGGTGCCCTCCACTCCTGCATGGGCTGGGCTTCCCGGCCTCCACTGTCCTGGAAGGAGTCCTCCACTGCACCCTCTTTTGAGTGTAAGGTACTCTCAGGGCATCTCTGTCCACTTCCTCTCTGGGCTATACATAGAGCCACCACCTACAGCCAATGAGAGTGAGTTGGAGCAAAAAGGCTGCAGGAAGGTAGACAGGAAGCTCGGAGTTCCGGACCCCACTGGGCCCCGCTGCAGCTCATGGAGAACCCCATAGGCTCCTGCAGATGTAGCACCTAGGACCAAGGCTGTACAGGGGGACAATCAGTTCCTGATCATTTCTGTGGGCAAGCATGGTTTGGGCTTCCACAGTGGTAGCCTGAAGGCTAGCTGGACTGCCTCTCCCTACTGTCCCCCAGGCTTCACGGCTTTCTCATTTGGGGAATGAGTTGAAGTAAGATGAAAGGAAGATGACATCCCTCAAGACGGAGCCTTGAATGGGGTGAGAGAAGGGACTTCGACTATGAGCATGCTCAAGGAGCCAGGGCCCTATCGGAGCTTGCATCCCAAAGCTGTGGGCAGTGGCCAGAGCCCGTTCAAAATGTGTGTGATGCTGGCCCCATGGGTGATGCCGACACCATGGGTGAGGCTGATACCATGGACTGGGGAAGGTTCTCCTGGGATGGAGAGACCATGGCCACTCCTGAACAGGGACCAACAGGGGGATTCTGGCTACCTGGCCAGCTTCCTCGGGGTATTTAGCTCTTACCTGTTGTGCTCTGTCTTCTGCCAACCTCTCCCAGGCCCCTCCTCTCAGCCCTCTCTGGTTCCCTGAGCCCTTCCTCAGATCCCAAACTTTGGCATGTCAAAGATTAGAGTGACCCCAGCTTGTAGCCCTAGAGACAGAGGCCTGTACACCAGTGAAGGCAGGCATGAGGGATGATGCATGCTTCTTCAGTGTGGTGTGCACAACCAGATAGCTCGGCTCTCAGGCTCCAGGCTCTAGGCTTCCTAAAAGGCTTGGGGACTTCCGAGGTTCCACAGCGCTGGCCTGAGGTGGCAGAGATGACATCTTTCATCAGCTCCCTCAGCCCCATGGCTGGGTTTTTCATAATTCAGAAGACCTTGAAAGTGGGTGACCTCCAACACCCTTCCTCCGGCCTCGGCTAGTGGCAGAAAATACCCAGAACGAACCAGTGGCTCAGTAGAGTGCTGGCTTAGAATTGCCAATGCGGTTGTTTCTCTCATCTCGAAAAGTACCATTCTACTTCATGCATGCTTGAGGAAAAGGAATAGGAATGAGGGGATGGATAAAGGGCTCCTCTCTCTCTCTCTCTCTCTCTCTCTCTCTCTCTCTCTCTCTCTCTCTCTCTCTCTCCCTCTCCCTTAAACTGGATTAGACCCTTTTAAAAAACTGAAAAGCAGGCCAGTAGTAGTAGTGCACACCTTTAATCCCAGAACTCAGGAGGCAAAGGCAAGCAGATCTCTCTAAGTTCAAGGCCAGCCTGGTTTACAGAGTGAGTTCCAGGATAGCCAGAAGTTGATTGTTACACAGAGAAACCCTATCTCAAAAAATCTAACAAATGAGAACCTGAGATGCAATTTCTACTTCAGGGTGGCAGTTCTCATTGCCTCCTGTATCTGGGGTCAGATACAGGTATGATATAGGCCATATTGTGGAGAATAAGGTATGAGCCCTGAGGGGAGGGACATGGGGGGAAGGTGAGGCAAAGGTTAGAAACCAAGAGTGGGTTGCAGCCTCCCCTGCAACATGAGGAACATTGCCACCGATGAGCAAGGTCCCCTATGTGCATGGCTAGGGGCACAGGGAGAAGAGGGTGCCTAAGGTGGACTAGCTCTGCCCTGAGCCTCTCACGTTCCAGCCACCCTCAAATAGTCCCAGCTGTCTGTCCCTGTGCCTTTGCACAGGTGGCTCTTTCTGTGTCTGGCCATTTCTAGTCTCTCTCTTTTGAAATGTTTTTTATTAATATTTGAGAATTTTATTCATGTGTACAGTATTTGTTCTTTATTATATCCACCCCCTCTCATCCTTCTAACTCCTGGATCCAACCCTCTCCCTCACATTGGTCTCTTGTTTGAGATTTTTCCTTAGAATCCTCTTTTTTTTTTAATTTGAATGTGTGTGTGTTTGTGTATCTGAGTATATATGTGTGTGTGTGCCCACCTGAGTGTGTTTGTGTGTGTACCTGAGTGTATGTGTGTGTTTGGGTAAGTGTGTGTGTTTGTGTGTGTACCAGAGTGTATGTGTGTGTGCATGTGTTTGTGTGTGTGTGTGTGTGTGTGACAGTGTGTGTTTACCTGAGTGTGTGCATGTGTGTGTGTTTGTGTGTGTGTGTGACTCTGTGTGTATATGTGTGTATGTGTACCTGAGTGTGTGTATGCATATCACATGTGCCTAGGTGCTAGCAGAGACCAGAAGAGAGTATTAGATGCCTTATGATCTTCCCAATGTGTGCTGGCAACCAAACTCAGGTCTTTACTAGGTTTCCCTTCCACACCAGCCTGTTGTGTGGGGTCTCATATCCCCGCCACTGGTCAAGTAGGCACCGTCATGCCCCTGTCTGGGTACATGTGCATAGACACTGGTGTGGTAGATGGTAAAGGGTCCTTCACTTGGGGTAGCTCTCTGAGTACTAAGTACCAGCCCTGGCCTTCACTGATGTCCGTGGGTCAGTGCTGTGCCTGGTGGGGACTGGCTTGGAACCCTAGGCTATAGAGTAGAGCTACAACCTCCAGAACAGGGCCAGAGAACTGTCCTGTTTTCCCATGTTCCCTTTCCATAGGCAAGGTTTCCTTCCTCTTCCCAGCCTTGTGCAGCCAGTGCCTGCTCACCGGCCCAGCCCTTTGTGCCCATGTGTTGCCATGGAGATGGGCCATTCACAAGCTTGGTACTTCAAGGCTTACCACCTTTCCTGGTGGGCTTGGGAGTGAGTATCTGGGATGATGGCCTGAGTTCCTGGCAGAAAGTGCCTCCTCTCTTTGTCCAGTTGAATGTCACACCCTGCCAAGGCAAGTGTATCACACCCAGTAATTCTCATTCTGGTGTGGGTGGCTAACTCTGAGCCATACCTTAGGAACAGGTGTGCTTTTACAGAGACATCCAAAGTGAATATAATGAGGGAAATGGAAACATCTAGTCTGAGAGGGAGGCTGGCTCTTTGGCCACCCTGCAACCTGTCAAAGTACTCGACACACAGGATACCGATGAGTGGCTGACGGGCAGCCAGCTGAGTGGAGATACCCTTCCTTCCCTGGATCCAAAGTGCCATCCCTACACCCAACAGCTTCCTGCTGGGACTCTGAGCTCCAGGACATAGCCCCAGAGCTCTTGTCATCCTTCTTCCAGACACCACAACCAGATAGATGGCATGTGGGGGGTTGGGAAGAGCAACACTGCCTAGGGACACCTAACCTGGCAACCGAGCTGGTTGCTAGCCCTCTCCATGCGTCCTGCATATCGACACTGTCTGAGTCACCCATCAAGTGCCTAGCGGGGTCTTTGAGGCTCCTCCATGTCCTCTTTATCCTGCACACCACTTGTAGTTTTTATCTCCCCATGACCCACCCTTTAATCATCTCAATTCCTGCAACTAGAAAAAAATCTACAGCAGGATGTCTGGTTGCAGCTGCCCCCTCCTGTCCTAAGGTAGGAAGAGGGATGTGTCACCTTCTCCCAGTGGCCCTCAGGGCAGGTCTGGGACAACCCAGCCTCAGTTTCCCCTCTAGGGTGATGAAAGTGATTCTTTGTCCTCCAGCCAATGCCCTTGGCTGTCTGGGGAGCTGAGCTCTGTGCTGTGCCCAGGAACAATATGTTTCTTTAGGGACATCTTCACTCTTGCTCCAAGCCAGGAGTTCTCCAGTGCCAAGGCAGGCCTGCCATCCCACCAAGATGGCCAAAGACTTCCTGTGAGTTCACTTGGAGGGAAGGAAGCCCAGAGCAGACGTGAACGGTCGACCCGGTGAGTGGCTGCACAGGCCTGATGGTCAGATTGGTGGAGTAAATCTCCTAGCAGTGGGTTCTCATTCTGGAAGGGTGCTGGAGATGGACTGTTGTCCCTTTCTAGTAGAAGGGTCGGTCATTGCAAGGCAGGGCTGTCAGAAACCCACAAGGAGCTAGAAATTTTAGGAGAGCTGAGTGGATGTGTGACCTCTGAACTAGGTCAGGCTCCCCTGACAGGAGAGACAGTATATTGACCACCCATTTCCCAGCCTCTGCAGTACCCTTAGAGCCCCAAACTACAGGCCCACTTGTTTCCTGCTGTGTGAGACTCTAACAGGTCTACATGGCCATGTCTGGAGGCCTGGAGGTGGGGACTTATCCCAAGCTCTCACAGGCCAGCACACAGCAGTTCAGAGCAGAGAAGCGTGCCCACCCTCTCATCCTGCACGTTCACAAACAACTTCCCAGATGTTAAGAGGGCGTGGTGGGGGAAACCCCTGCCATAGATGGGACCCTGTGTGGCCTCTCCTTGGGTCAGCATAGCTGGATAAGCCCCATTAACCACATGGCTACCTACAATCGTGAGGGAGTCAGAAGGGTGGTTGGCCTATCCAGAACACTCCCACCAACAGTAATAAGACCAGGTAGGGGTTTAGTTAGGGGAGGGAGAAGAGGGGTTTGAACCTGGTCTTTCTGGCCTTCAGACATCTTTCACAGAGCTCTGCTTTGTGCTGAAGAAACGGAATGAAACCAATGAGGCTGGGAGTCTACACCAGAGCCATACCCATGAGGCCGGGGCTGAGGTTGCTCACTCTCAAGTCCTCGACCTCCCAAGAGCTCAGGTCAGGTCACTGTCATGCATTTGCTGTCTGTGCATGAAGCTGACTCAGCCAGGTTCCAGACACTCAGAGATGGACAGCAATGTGAAAGCCACCTGCTATGGAACCCAGCAGGACAGACATGAATTAAACCTACCAGGTCTTTCACCATCAAGGAGAGTACCTAAGAGTACTTCGGGCTGGGTTGGTGGCTCCCATAGGAAGGGTACAGGACTCAAGGGGCAATGGTCACAGACTTCCTGAGCTGGGGGCAAGAACTGCCCCAGGCAGAGACTAGGGTAGGCTCTGCTTGGCATTGCTAATAAAGTCATCGTTTTAAAATAAGCTTTTCTTTGAGAATAGTTCTAGATTTGCAGCAAAGACAGTACAGAAAGCTCCCATATGCCACATAGCCAGTCTCCTGCTGTTAATACTGCGCTCCTGCCATCACTGATGAGCCAACACTGAGAATCCTAGCAACAAAATCATTCCTTCTCCACATTCTCTTAGTTCTGACCCAATCTCTTTTTTTCTATTCCACAATCTGACTGTTGGTCCCAAACTCCCCAAGAATGGGAACAAAGACATATTTGACTAGCTGGGTTTCCCACAGACACACTGTGACCCCCAGGCTTTCCACAGACATCTCTGGGGGTCAGGGCTGCTAAGGTCACATCAGGATGCCCCCCTTTCTCCAGAGGTACTGAAGACAGCCTCCCAAGCGCGTTTCTTCATCTATGACATGAGTCTAGATTGCTGCTATGACACACACCCACAGCACCCTGTTTGTTTGTTTTTCTAACTTGTGTTGTGATCATGGGGCAGACACTCCTAAGGGACCCACCATGGTGTCTCTTTTTCCTACAGTCAGATGGGATGGGGTTGGGGGCCTGTTCCCTCAAGGATGGTGTGACTTCTACAAGTGAGAACCATAGTTTTCATGCCCAACTCTCACCTCCTAAACACACAACCATCCTCCTGCCTCCAAATCAACCCCAACTGAAAAGGGGACCTTTACCCAGAAATCAAGACCCAGCAAGAATGGCCAGGGCTGTATGACTGATGGGTCTGGAAGAATGGCTTTCTCTTGCTTAGTCTCTGGGGCTCAGGCTGGCAGCTACCTATCATTAGGGCTCACCAGGCATGTTGTCATTACATAGTAAAGTCTGTCTGTGCATAATGTCAGCCATGGGTTTGGGCTGACCTCTGCTAGGTTCCAGACACACAGGAACCTACAGCAGTGTGAAAGCCATCTGACATGGAACCCAACAGGACAGGCATATGGATTAAGCTATGAGGAGGCCTAGTTCCCACATAGGTGGCCAATGGTCTTGGTTACCCTGGGTCAGCCATCCCTCTGCTCTAAGCCATGAGGTTATCTGGACCAGTACCAAGAATCCCTGCCTTCTCTGGGACCCCCTTTCTTGAACCCCTCCTCTGGCCCTCTCCATTTTCAAGTTTCTCCCTCAGAGGAAGTAAGTCTCTTTCTATGGTGATCAGCCTTGTCAGTTTGATTGAAAACCACATAAGAGATCAGTGAAAAAATTCCTAGTCACTTGTGTGTGTCTGTGAGGGGGTCTCCAGAGGGGACCAGATCACAAGGACTGGAGCCTAACTCAGCTGTGTCCAACCTGTGGCTGATGGGGCAACACGAACCCTAGGATAGCTATGAGTGTGGCCTTAAAAACTGTAAAGTTAGTTAAAACATTATGAGGTTTGGTTTTTTTTGTTGTTGTTGTTTTGTTTTTGCTGTTTTTGTGTGAACTTTGTAGATGACATCATGTTGTGATGTTCACAAGCTAGACTTGCCTTGGGATGGATTCACAATACATTATTACTGGGAGGTGGTGAAAGGTGTGAGGTAGGACACAGCTGGCCAAGTAGGAACTGGGGGCATGACCTTGGGGGCTGTATCTTGCCCTGCCAGCTTCCCACACCTCCTTTCTCCGTCTCCTGTCCTCCATATGGTAACCTGGTCGGCTTCACCATTCCCTCCTGCCATGAAGGATGAATCTTCTGAAACCCTGAGCCAAAAGGAGTCGTTCCTGCTTTTAACTTCTGCTAGGTCTGGGGTGTAGCTCAGTTGTAGAGCATTTGCTTATCACGCAAGAAGATCTGAGTTCAAAGCCCAGCACCTCCAAAACAAAAATAAAGACCATCTGTAGAGGCCCTACATGGTCCACCTGCCAGGCCTCAAGATGGAGTGTCAGAGACATGATGGCACATGCTATAATCTCAACACTTTGGAGGTTGAGGCAGGAGGGTTGCTGGGAGTTCAAAACCAGCCTCGGCTACCAATTGACATCTTGTACACACACACACACACACACACACACACACACACACACACACACACACACACACGAGCTCTGTTAGGTATCTTTGTCACAGCCTGCAAAAATAATACACCTCATTTCACTTTCATAGAAACTGAGGCTGGAAAGACACACTACCCAGGCCACGTCTTTGGGAGACTGGATTCCCTGGTCCCAGATGACACACGTGGGGAATAACTGATGACGAATAACTGGCTGGAGCTTCAGGAAGAACAGAGGTGCTCGTGGTCAGAGCTGGGACCAGGCAAGGCCCCAGCTGAATCTGGCACTGCTCCTGAACAGCAGGGCAGGAACTAATTAATTAACATAGGCCATTGCTAACTGGGCGCTAATGAAGACAAAGAGGCTGAGCAGGCAGCTGTGAGCACTTAGCATGGACCTCTGAGCAGATGGGACAGCCAAGGGGTCCCTCACCACTGCAGCTTCACTGGTGGCAACATCAAAGGCCAAATATCAGCGTCTCCTGTTTAAATGTTTCTTGTTGTGAACGGACACTCTTCCTCAGCCTGCTCCAGTCACCTCATAGCCCCAGCTCACAATCGGAAATCTCCCCATCTTGCCAGTTAGATCAGCAAGCAGGTGCTCCTCCTTTTATAGAGGACTTCTCCAGCAAACCGCCCAGTGTTCCCAGGCAACCACTAGAGGGCACAACCCAGGCACACCCCAGCAGGTTGAGCCTCCGCCCCTGCCTCCCTGTGTGCTAGGGGAAGAGTTAGAGAGGTGTGAACTGCATCCTGTTGTACCATGAGCACAAATGCTTCTTGCTTAGTTTGGGTTAGGCTTAATGCATACTGATGGGTTTCTTTTATGACTATATCCATTTTTCTCGTATAACCCAGAACAGTCCTTTGTGAAATGAATTGCTGATACTTTCACGTCTTATCGTTTATTTGTTGGTTTTGTTTCTCCAATGCAGTTACTTTTTATTTTTATGAGGTTGAATATACCAATCTCTCACGTTACAGCTTCTAGGTTTTTATAATTCTTCAGAGTGATTTGAGATTATAGTTATTTATTTGTGGATTTTGTTTGTCTGTTTGAGATAGGATCTTACTATGTAGCCCTGGTTGTCCTGGAACTCACTTGTAGACCAGGCTGGCCTCAAACTCACAGAGATTGACCTGGGTTAGCCTCTACACCACTATGCCATGCTTTGTGCCTTTTTTAAAGAGTAGTTTATTGTTTTGTTTTTACTTCTTAAACCTTTGGTCCTTTGGGTGCCTATTTTAATGTGAAGGACCCAGGCAGGGACTCAAACTTTCCAATTGGTTTGTTAACTGAGTTGTCCTAAAACCCTGTATGATTGTGTATTTAGAGTTAGTCTTTGAATAATTCACCTTTCTTCCTGGATTTTATCTATCTCCTTCTCATGCTTGTAGTTGAGCCTTTTCTGGGATTTTCCTTCCCATCATCTGATGCCCATGGACTGTGTTAATTATGGAGGTCTTAGAATGTAATGGGTTCCAAGATTCAAAGCAGCTAGTTTTTCCTCTCCCCCTCCTTCTTAACTTTTCTTTTTCTTTAAAAAATATTTTTATGTTAATGGGCTTTTTGCCTGTATGCATCTCTGTGCACCATACATGCTTGGTGACTTCAGAGGCCAGAAGAAGGTGTCAGATCCCTTTAGACTGGAGTTACAGATGGTTGTGAACTGCCATGTGGGTTCTGGAAATTGAACCTGGGTCCTCTGGGAGAGCAGTCAGTGCTTTTAATCACTCTCTCCAGCTCTTTCTTAGGACAAACAAAACTTCATTATAAAAAGCTGTAGCCAGGAATAGTGCCACACACCTTTAATCCCAGCACTCGGGAGAGGCAGACAGATCTCTGTGAATTGGAGATCAGCCTGATCTACAGAGTGAGTTCCAGAACAGCTAAAGCTAAACAGAAAAAGACTGTCTCATAAAAAAAAGACAAAAAAGTTGCAAATAAAAAAAAATCATACATGCCGGGCATTGGTGGCACTCGGGAGGCAGAGGCAGGCAAATCTCTGTGAGTTCGAGACCATCCTGGTCTCCAGAGCGAGTGCCAGGGTAGGCTCCAAAGCTACACAGCGAAACCCTGTCTCGAAAAAACCAAAAAAAAAAAAATCGTATACATATATTGGGTGTGGTGGTACACGGCTTTAATCCCAACATTTGGGAGGCAGACACAGGTGGGTCTCTGTGAGTTAGAGTATAGCCTGGTCTACAGAGAGAGTTCCAGGACAGCCAGGGATATGTAGAGAGATCCTATCTCAAACAAACAAACAAATCATATACCATATTAAACCCAAAGACTCTAGAACTCAGTGAACTTTTATACCATTAGAGTATCCATTTGGAACAGAAAGCTATGAAGCTTCACATTGGATACTGTAGTTTCACTATCAAATATATTTTTATTCTCTTCTTTACCACCCAAAATAAAAAATCCACACCAGAGTTAGAATTTAAAAAGCAATTAGCTTTATAACAATGCTTTCATAACTCATGCTCACTACCACCATCTACCCTGCCTTGTGCTATCTCTTCTGATTCTTTTTGCATTGCGACCTTCAGAATTGCTCTGCTTGAATGCTCATGCATTCAAAGAACAATCACTCAGGACTTTAGTGGGTCAGCTCCAGCACCGGGCCCTGTCACCTGGTTCATCACATTGCCCTTTCCCCTTGGACCTCAGACAGATGGCGCAAGCATTGTGCTGTCCAGGATGCTAGACCCTGGTTCTGCTTCATCCTTGGGACCGAGGAGAGGCCGGCCTAAGGGAGGGGCCAACCAGAGGACCTTCTCTGAAGTCTAGGAAGACAGGTGTTCCTGCCTAACCTGGGAAGCTCCGTGGGTTGGACACATGCATGTGTCTGGGTACCATTAACCTGGCCATGCCAAGCCAGCGGGACAGGTCCAGTTACTAGAGCAGTAAATGGTCCTATACAAGAGTGTCACAGAAAGGATCCAGGCCCAGGAAAGAGGGTTCTAGGCCTCCTGATGAGCTTTTCAGTCTGAGCAGTGTTTCCAACAGGTGGGACATGGTAGCCTGTGGGCATTCCAATGGAGCATGATGTAGGCTGCAAAGTCTTCCGGAAACCTACCACTCAGCTACCTGAGAGTGGTGACAGGGATCCTGGGATCCAGGACACCAACAGCTCAAGGCTCTGTGCCTAGTCCTTGGCTAACCCAGTTTCAGCCACACAGATTCATGGTGAGAGACTTGTCAGGGTAAACCAGCACGTGAGTGGGAAGGGCCAAGGCTGAAAGGCAGGGCGTGGAGCCAGGAGCATAGGGTGGGTGGGATGGGCAGACCCGAGATGTCCACCACAAGCTGGGAGACATCGTACAAGACTGACAGCAAAGCTTGGTCATCTTGGACTGTCAGCAGAATCCCAGCTAAAAACACCCCAGACTCAGATGCCCATCTGCTGCCTCTGCCTCTCAGACCGTCTTCACATAGAAACCATATGAGCCCCTGACCTTCCTCACTGGGAATGTGGAAAAATGTATTCTCTATATTCAGTGTGTCCCAAACTCAGGCCAGCCTCCAGGCCAGCTTTTGGGACCTCTGTCTCATATGAAAGCCAGATCTGTGACCCAGGGAAGGAGTCAGAGTGGAAGCTTGACCTAGGACAGCAGGGCTGTCCCATGGGTCTCAGGATGCAGAACCGCTTGTGGAAAGTGGAACAGAAATGGGGTACAGCTGGGAAGGGGCCAGGTGATCTCTGTCCATCCCTTTGAGCTTCCAGCTGATCACATACTAGATTCTTTGTTCTATGTTATCCAAGCAAGCCAAAGCAAGACACTTCTCCCTTGGGCTCAGGTCCTCATTTGTACCCTGAAGCGATGAGAAGAGTCAAAATCCAGCAGAAGTGTGAACTAACCTCCCAAAGTACCAACAGCTAAATGTTGAAGGCAATGAGGAAAAGACAATGAAGGGCCCTTCTTAGTGCCCTTTGGATAGGGCCATTAGGCTGAGTCAAGCTAGTCCATGTGTGTCCTCAGTTGGGCACTCTAAGGCTAACCATTGGAGTCCCCATGTGGAAAACAAAGCAAGTTTGCATGCTCTGTGGGTGGCAGTGGCCAAAGCATGTGCTTTGGGCCCTGGGAGTTCTGGGGAGAGCTGTACTGAACATGGGCAGGAGTGGAGTTGGTCCAGTAGAAACCCTACACAGAGGGCATAGGAAGGGCTCTGAGATGCCTTCCACCCCAGCTCATGCAGTTGCAAGCTATGACTATTCTGGATGAGGGAGCTGTGCCTTCCAGAGCTTATGAGTCCGTTCAGACAGTGCCCCAACCCAGCTTTGATTGCCCTCTGGGCTCCTGGCCTGAAAGCAGCTCCCAGTTTAGCTATCACTGCTAGATGAGTGGCTCTAGACAAGAATCTACATTCCCCACAGGAGCTGAGGAAGGGCCAGGAGCCACAGTGATGACTTGGGATAGCCCTGGGACTGTGCTTCCCTGAGTCCTATCCCTATACCAGACTTTGGGCCCTCTGGGACATAGCATTCAGCTCCAGCCCTCCAGTGGGCTAGCTGTGCCTACTCCAAGATCACCAGCTCAGCAGCTTTCCCTAGGAGACAAGCCTGAGAATCTAACCAACAGCAACTATCACAGTATCCCATGCACGCCTAAGGCCTGGAAGTTCTGGGGACTCACTAATCCCTCTGGGAGCTGGAAGAAGGGATAGACTCAACCTTTGGGCCCAAGGGTCAGCACTGTTATCTTGCCTGGCCTGGGGCTCCACTTCTCTCCCTGCTCAGGCTCTCATCCTAAAGATGGGCCGAGGTGACTACTGAGAATTAACCCTGCACTGCACACATCCTACCCAGTATCCCCAGTAACCTCTCAGAGGTGGGGTGCAGACATGATGTTTCAGGAGGTGCACTCAGTACAGTAGAATCCAGGACGGTGCCCTGTAGGAGGCCCTGGCTCAGAGCCAAGTTCAGAAGTGCTGGGAGATGGGCAGGCCCAGCGGGATTCTGGGACACGCCAGGCCCCTTCCCTGCACCAGCCCCGGTTGCTGCTGTGTGTGCCTTTGATGAATAAGAGATGAGGAAGCTGATTAATTATGGCTTGATATGCACCAAAGTTGGGCAGAGGGACTGAGGGTGGGGTTCCTTAGAGGTTCGGAGCTGAGGATGGCAGAAGGTGGACGATGGCAAGAAGCCCCTGAGGGAACACAGGTGTAGGGGATCCAAGAGGGGCTGTCACACGCTTCATCTTCCTAAACTCTCCAGCCCTCTGTTTCCTGTCTGAAAAAATAGGTGGTGGTGTTGCCATCACAGGACCAATAGCACCATGCATTTAGCAGGCCTGGCACAGAGTCGTCTCGGGCCTTGGGCATAAAGCCACCTTCTGTGGTGAGAGCAGATGGCCCCCAGCTCCCTGGCACTGAGATCGCATCCCCAGCCACCCACTCAGGTTGGTGGCCTTGGCATGCTTAGACAGCAGGTGTAGCCGTACAGCTTGCCCTTCCCGATTCTTTCCTGGTTCCTCCTTGTACTGTCCCAGAGTGGCCCAGAGCATGTATAGCAAGAACAAAGTCCCCTTATTTCTTCCTCCCTTCCTAGAGAACACCAACAGCCTAGAGGCCATGTGGGTGTCCTAGAAGGATGCCCCAGTAGGGTCTGTGCCCATAAGCTCCTCAAGCCTTTGCAACAGTGACCACCTTTCATGGCTGTACCGCATTCCTGCCAGCCCCAGTTGCCCCATGTTAGACTCTGAGTAGACCTGGAGGTTTGAGTCATCCCTGTAATCCCTGCTAGAATCCCACAAGGGACCAGAGAGGCAGACAGAGAAGGGTCAGTGATCTGACCACACCCCAAAGCATTAACATTTGCTTTATCTACATGCGAAGAGCTGGCTGAGGTCACACAGCCAGACAGGGCACTTTCATGCCACATACAGATCACTGAGCTGAGTCTGGGGCCGGGGGACAAAGGTGAGACAGTGCTGGGGAACTGCAGGGTCAGGTCTCACTGCAGGAGGCAGTGCCTGGGCAAGCTACCCCCAAGGGTGGGAGGCAATTCTGACAGACCTTCAGTCTGGCCCTGCAAGCCAGCCCTGATATAGTCAAGACTTGGGGGAGAGCCTTCGGCAGATTCCGTCGTCTTCTGATTCCCAGGGCTACATGTACAAAGGGCCAGGAGAATTCACATCTTCCACTCAGCACCCCTGCTAGAGCTTCCCAGAAATCAATCCTTGTAGACCTCATCAATAGGACAGTAGGTGGGCCAGTTTCCCCAACTGGGCCTCTGACTCTTCCCCCAGGGCTCAACTAAGGCTGTTTGTGTGTCTTAACCAGACTTCAGCCCCTAATAAGCCCTCCACCAGCCCCTCACTAGCCGTCAGCTGCCCTCCCTTATCCTTGGGGCCCTAGGTGGCAATGGTGCAGGACCTGCCCACAGGGGAAGAGCTCTGTTCCTTGAATTGCCCAGTATCTGCCCACACCCTGATAAATATGCCTCTCCACACCTCCCACATGCCCTGCCTAAGAAGAGAGCCATGTCGTCCTGGAGGCAGGCTGGCCAGCCCCCATCTCACTTTGCCCCCTATCGGATCCCTTCAGAGCTGGCCTAAACCTTAGCCAGCATCAAGGTGTCCTAGAGACTCAGCCTCTGAAGAGCAGCACCGGACTGCTGACTGGAATGGGTATGCAGACCACAGAAATACTGCCTACAGACTATGGATGCCCAGTTCACATTATAAATCTCTGTATTGCTCCCACCACACACAGACCTGTGAGCAGGTAAGGGGTGTCCAGGCCCCAGCCCAGAACACCCAGGGACAGCCAGCTTTCAGGTAGAGAGACAGCCATGGCACTAGAAGCCTCCATGGTAGCTCTCCTTTCCCTCCTACACCTATCCTATGCCCCAGCAATGGAAGGAGGGGGGTCAATCTTTACCTCTCCAGTGGGCAGCCTGGCCACTGATAATAATAGTCATTGGGAAATGCCTTCACCAAGCCTCAGTGCACAGACTGTAGTCCAGGACTGCAGCCTTGTCCTAACATGGCATGAGGTGGTCTTTGAGGAGAGTTCAGTTCCTGGGTTGGGCACTGTTCTATTCAAGGATGTTGGAAGAAGGGGCGTTGGCCTAGGTGATAGGCCATGGCTTTCTGCTGGCTCTTTGAGGTTGGCCTTGTGCTAGCCATCTGTCCTTGGGTGGCAAACCTCCCATGTTGTGGGGAGGAGGATGAAAATTCACTGAGTCACTTCAGGGGCCAACCTGGTGGCACTCAGTGACCAGTATCCAATGAAGAAGTGGTCGTGAATGCCCATTCTGGCTTCACCTCATCTCCCAGATGGCTGGAAATTGAACCCACTTTTCAGTGACCTGAAAATCCAAGACTGGGACAAGGGCAACTGGGACAAGGCCTACAAAGGTGTGGGAACACAGAGCAGCAACCAGGGCAGGACTGAGCAGTGTAGTCTCCATATCTAGCCACAAGGTCAGTCCATTGCAGCCACTTCAGTGGTCTCCACCCCAAGGTTTGTCATGCTGCATACTTGGTGTTTGCTTTCCCTAGTGAGGCAGGCAAGACCATGAGCCCTACCCAGCTCCCTCGCTGGATCGTGTGCAGGACAGACACAGACAATGGCCTGGCAGCCAGCTGAAGTCCTCCAGAATGCACTTAAGAACTCCAGGTAGAGCACCCAAGCAGCAGTGGGAGATAGGGTGTGTGTGTGTGTGTGTGTGTGTGTGTGTGTGTGTGTGTGTGTGTGTGTGTGTGTGTGTGGGTGTGGGGG